CATCCATCCATCCATCCATCCATCCATCCATCCATCCATCCATCCATCCATCCATCCATCCATCCATCCATAAATAAAACTAAATAAAAACTAAATAACATACGTCGGCGCGAACCAACACCTTCCGAGGAACCCAACTCTAAAAGTGGTGTGCAGGGTGGGCTCCCTAAAACACCCCCGGGTCAGGCTCCCGATAACAGTTAATACAAAAATGATGAGTGATGAAAAAATTGAAAGTTCCCATGCCGGTAGCCTTAACAAGGAGAATCCCGCCATCAGGTCTGATGCCGGCTCCATGGATTATGGGAGGAGCCAATCATCACATTCATTAAAGGTGGACTCCCTGGCCTCGGATGCTACAAGGAGAGATGAGTCGCAGACTAAACAGGAAACGGAATGTTGCAATGCATGGGCACGACTTGAAAAACTCATCGCAGAACTTCATGAGTATGTTCAGCCCAGGATAAATGTCCACAAGGAGATCAAATGCAAGGTGGCAACTATCGGCAGCGCATTCAAACGCCTCAAAAGTTTGGAGGAGGCATGCATCAAAGCACGACCCTCCTTCACCAAACCCGTGCGAACTCCACCAGCACCACCCACGTTGCGTTTACGGACGGACTCCGAAACGATGGCAAAGGACTCGGATTTGGAGGATCCGAATACCATGCAGTCGGCCCGAGATGTCCGCAAGGCAGTGCGGATAAGGCGCTCAAAAGGCTCACTAGCGGCAGAAGCTCAACCTTTGAAGGAGCTGAAGCAACAGGATCTGACCAGCAAGACACCGCAGATGATGGCAACTTCAGATCCACCTGCTAAGCCGGAATGGACGCAGGTGAAGAATAAGAAGGAGAAAAAGAGGCAGGCCGGACAGCTCCATCCACAGCTGCCTCCCAAAAAGATGAAAAAAAAGAAACAGGAGAGGGCTACTCGGAAATCAGTGATGCGACCTGATGCGCTGATTATATGCCCCAAGGACAAGGAGAAGTATTCCGATATACTGCGTCGGGTGAAGAAGGATGTTCCCTCAGAGGACGCTGTCGGTTGTATCGATAAGATCCGCCGTTCAGCAACCGGAGATATGCTGATCATCCTTAGCAGAAAGACGACTGACGGAACACCTAAACTGCGTACGGCCATCGTCAATCTCCTTGGAGATGAGGCTGAGGTGCTGAGTAAGGGACCACAAGAAGATCTCGAGATCAAAGATCTTGATGAAACCACATCGAAGGAGGACGTCATCGAAGCCCTAAAAGTAGTAGCTGGGGAGGAACACGAGATCCAAGCAGATGCGATCAAGTCCCTTCGTAAAGCTTATGGAGGTACCCAGACTGCCTCAGTGGTACTCGCGGTATCTACTGCGAACAAGATCCTGGGAGAGCATGGCAAGATCAAGATAGGCTGGGTGAATTGCCGCATAAGACGAGTGAAGAGACCGTTGAAGTGCTTTAAGTGCTGGCACTACGGGCATCTCGCCACCAAGTGTACGAGCACAGTCGATCGATCAGCAATCTGCGTGAAGTATGCAGAGAATGGTCGCAAAGCGAAAGACTGCAAGAAGAAGCCACATTGTGCCTTGTACACTGAGAATGGTAATCCAGAGAATTGTCCCCACATTTCTGGTAGCAGTAGATGCCCAGCATACAGGGAGGCACTGCAGAAGCTCACCAATAAAAGGCGATAATAAAAGGAAAAACTTAAAGGTGCTACAGCTCAACCTCAACCACTGTGGGAACGCACACGACCTGCTCATGCAAATGGTGCGGGAGCTGAAAGTTGATCTCGTGATAATCTCAGAGCCATACCGTCACCTGGATACTAAACCCTGGGTTATTGACCTCACCAAGAAGGCGGTAATCTGGTCTTGTGGGAACCGACCATTTCAGAGTACCACGAGTGACATCATACAAAACGGCTTCGTGAAGGCGAAAGTTGATGGAATCTACTTCTACAGCTGTTACGCCCCACCGAGCCTTTCCATTGATGAGTTCACAGACTTCCTGGACGCAATGACTGAGGATGCGATGCAGCACTTTCCCGTGGCAACAGCCGGGGACTTCAATGCCTGCGCAGTCGACTGGGGAAGTAAGGAGACTAACACCAAGGGTCAAGCTGTACTGGAAGCTATGGGGTCGTTGGATGTGGTCTCGTTGCACAGCGGCAATGAACCGACCTTCATTAGAGGAGAGGCGAGCTCAATTGTGGATCTCACTTTCGTGAGCACCACTCTTGCCAAGAGAAACTGCTCATGGAGAGTGACTGATATTTACACTGCGAGTGAGCACCGTGCGATTCTCTGGGAGACATGTTCTGACCAGAGAGTAGCCTTAGTGGCCAAGAAGACCAACAGTGCTGGCTGGAGAGTGAGCACTTTTGATCCTGGCTCTTATTCAGCGGCATTAGACGACCGCCCAATTAGTGGCAGCAGTGCAACTGAAAAGGCGCGAAGCATCATGAAAAGAGTAGCAGCAGCATGCGATGCCACCATGACCAGGAAGCGGACGNACTGAGAATGGTAATCCAGAGAATTGTCCCCACATTTCTGGTAGCAGTAGATGCCCAGCATACAGGGAGGCACTGCAGAAGCTCACCAATAAAAGGCGATAATAAAAGGAAAAACTTAAAGGTGCTACAGCTCAACCTCAACCACTGTGGGAACGCACACGACCTGCTCATGCAAATGGTGCGGGAGCTGAAAGTTGATCTCGTGATAATCTCAGAGCCATACCGTCACCTGGATACTAAACCCTGGGTTATTGACCTCACCAAGAAGGCGGTAATCTGGTCTTGTGGGAACCGACCATTTCAGAGTACCACGAGTGACATCATACAAAACGGCTTCGTGAAGGCGAAAGTTGATGGAATCTACTTCTACAGCTGTTACGCCCCACCGAGCCTTTCCATTGATGAGTTCACAGACTTCCTGGACGCAATGACTGAGGATGCGATGCAGCACTTTCCCGTGGCAACAGCCGGGGACTTCAATGCCTGCGCAGTCGACTGGGGAAGTAAGGAGACTAACACCAAGGGTCAAGCTGTACTGGAAGCTATGGGGTCGTTGGATGTGGTCTCGTTGCACAGCGGCAATGAACCGACCTTCATTAGAGGAGAGGCGAGCTCAATTGTGGATCTCACTTTCGTGAGCACCACTCTTGCCAAGAGAAACTGCTCATGGAGAGTGACTGATATTTACACTGCGAGTGAGCACCGTGCGATTCTCTGGGAGACATGTTCTGACCAGAGAGTAGCCTTAGTGGCCAAGAAGACCAACAGTGCTGGCTGGAGAGTGAGCACTTTTGATCCTGGCTCTTATTCAGCGGCATTAGACGACCGCCCAATTAGTGGCAGCAGTGCAACTGAAAAGGCGCGAAGCATCATGAAAAGAGTAGCAGCAGCATGCGATGCCACCATGACCAGGAAGCGGACGACAAACCGGCATCCACCGGTGTATTGGTGGAACGAAACCATCGCAATCCTGCGGAAAAAGTGTAACGCAGCCAGGAGGTTGTCCCAGCGTGGCCAGAAGAAGCCGTACTTTGAGGAGCTGCACATTAGATACAAGAAGGCACGTCGGAAACCCAGCAAAGCTATCAAGTTCAGTAAAAAGCAATCTTGGAGTGAGCTTCTTGATGAGGTGGAACGCGATCCGTGGGGTAGACCTTATAAAGTGGTGATGACACGACTCAAGAGTCAACCAATGCCGTCACCAACGTGCCCGGTGCTGATGAAGAGAATTGTAACGGTGTTGTTCCCGCAACAATCAGAACTCCATCGTACTAGCCAACAAGGGGAAGTGCTGATGGTTCCACAAATCACCAGAGAACAATTGATGGTGAGACGATTGATTGATGTAAGTGTGCAATAGAGTGGGAAACACCAAGGCCCCTGGCTTAGATGGAATCCCCAATGTTGCGCTGAAATTAGCTGTCCACGCGATGCCGGAGCTATTCCTGGACGTCTACAACGAGTGCCTCAGAGAAGGCATCTTCCCTGCCATGTGGAAGCAGCAGAGGTTAGTATTGCTTCCAAAAGGGAAGAAACCACCGGACGAACCCTTATCGTATCGTCCCCTCTGCATGCTCGATACCGCTGGCAAGATTCTCGAGCGTATATTCCATCAACGAATCGAAGCAGCAGTCGAACCGCTACTAGCTGGGAATCAATATGGTTTCAGGAAAGGTCGATCTACGTTAGAAGCCATCAATCTTGTCGTCGATACTGCCAGGGAAGCGATCTCAGGGAAAAAATGGCTAAAGGGGAAGAAGAAGTACTGTTTAGTAGCAACGCTGGACATCAAGAATGCCTTTAACTCACCCAGATGGAACTGTATTATGGATGCTCTTGTGAAATCCAACGTACCAGGGTACTTACGAAGGATGGTCGCCAGCTATTTTTCCGGGAGGATCCTTAAGTATGATACGGAGTGTGACCTCGAGCAGTATAGAGTTACGGGAGGGGTGCCGCAGGGCTCAATACTAGGTCCCCTACTGTGGAACATCATGTACGACGGGCTACTGAAGCTGGAACTGCCGCGGGAGACTAAACTCGTTGCATTTGCAAATGACGTGGCTGTAGTCATCGTCGGAAAATATCTTGAGGAGATCAATTTTACCTTCGACAAGACCTTCGAGACGATTCGACGCTGGATGGACTCAGCAGGCTTACACCTGGCGGAGCATAAGACGGAAGCCGTCCTGATCACTAGCAGGAAGATAATTGAGACTGTCACGCTGCAGGTCGGGTCTTGTGAAATTACCTCCTAGCCATTCATCGGATACCTGGGGTGATGATCGATGCCCGACTCAACTTCAAGCAGCAAGCGGAGCACGTGGGTACCAACGCATCTGGGGTCAGATCCACCCTAGCATGCCTCATTGCCAACATTGGAGGTCCTAAATAACGGAGACGAGCGCTGCTGTCGTCAGTGGCTACATCAGTGGTTACGTAAGATATTTCCATTTGGGGTGACGTACTCCAGCTGCAAGAAGCTCGCCGTAAAATTATAGCTGTCTATCGGCTGAGTGCTCTCAGAGTTGCGAGTGCGTATCGGACGGTATCTGAGGATGCAGTGTGCATCATCTCAGGAATGTTACCGATAGAGCTATTAGCTGAGGAGCGAAGATCTCTATACCAGCGGAAGAGATCAGAAGCGCTGAGTCCCGAAGAACTGGAAATCCAAGTGAGACGAAAGAGCTTGAGCCGATGGCAGCAGAAGTGGACAGATTCCACCAAGGGGAGATGGACCCATCGTCTGATTCCGCATGTGGCTGTCTGGGTCGAGATCATGGAGAGATGAACTATCATCTTTTTCAAATGCTTTCAGGACACGGGTGCTTCCGGGCATATCTTCATAAATTCAAACATGAAGATTCCCCGACGTGTCCCACCTGCGCAGAAGTGTACGAGAACGCGGAGCACGTATTCTTCACATGCCCCCGTTTCAGTGACATCCGGGATACTTGAGAGACTGAACTTGGAAGGAAAGTCTCGCCCGAAAATGTAGTAGAAGCAATGCTGTCATCAGAGACAGCCTGGGACGCAACGAGCAACTTCCCGGCGGAAGTCATAAAGGAGCTCAGAAACGAGGAACGCAAGCGCAAGTTTGCAGTATAGGTGAGAAATCTATTTGGAACCTCCTAATCACACACAATATCTTAGCAGGTTAGGGGGACGTACATTGGATGGAAATAGTGAAAAAGCAAACAGCTGAGAACCCCCCTCGCGAAGTAATACTTCACGGTGGTGCCGCGAGGGAAATGAGAACGGACGATTAGAGGTAAAAAGAGGAAAACAGGGTTTTTACTGGGTAAAAATCCCAGATCTGGTTTTTAACATCACTTTACCAGAATCTTTTGAAGATTTTCCCAAACTTCTAATAAAAAATATATATATATATATATATATATATATATATATATATATATATATATATGGAAATTTTTTCTCTCTAAATTCTAATTCTCTTAGAATTCTTTAATGCCTAAAGGAGGTTAGGAGGTGTTTGAGGTGAATTTGAGAGTGAATTTCTGTGGTTCCCGGTAGCTTAGTCGGTAAGAGTGCCCGGCGCGTATCTGGGAGACCCGGGTTCGATTCCCGGCTGGGTGAAGCGGAAATTTTTTCTCTCTAAATTCTAATTCTCTTAGAATGGAAATGGGAACGGAAACGGGTGTATATATATATGTATATATATATATATACATACACTCCCTCCGACCAACTGCCACCTTGCCGCAGTGGAGGGGCTTAAAGAGTGGATGCACCACTCCACTCTACTAAGAGCAGTTGAAGCCCCCCCAATGTCAAGGTCAATGTCAAGCAGAAACGAGTAGACAGGGCTTGTTGTCTATACGTCAACGGACTCTATCCGAGACTACAGCAAAGGACTCTGAGCTGGAAACTGAGGATACATCATCCGTGGTAAATTTTCGGGACATCCGTCAACCAAGACGGCGGAAGCGTGACTCGCCTGGGCATGATGATAAGAAGCCCAAAAACCCGAAAGGGCCAGGGACAGCCCTACCGGCCAAGACATCTCACCATCCAGCTGACAACTGTAGTTGGGAGACCGTGAAGAATAGGAAGAAAGCCGAGGAAACTCCAAACACGTTATCAAATACTCCCCGGAGTAGTAGGAGAATGGGCAAATCAGCATCCAGGTCCGATGCATTGATCATTCGCTCAAAAGATAAGGTGAAGTATGCTGAGATTTTAACGAAGGTAAAAAAGGATGTTCCTCCAGATCAGGTGCTGGGGTGCGTTGATAAGATCCGCAGAACAGCCACAGGGGACATGCGCATCGTCTTGACCAAAGACAGTGCTAGCAAAGCCTAAGAATTGCCATCAGCCATAAGTGGTCACCTCGGGGAAGACGTGGAGGTTCTTAGCAAGGGCCCTCAGGAAAATATTGAGATCAAAGACCTCGATGATATGACAAGAAAGCAGGAAATTCTGGAAGCCCTATGCAAAACAGCGGGCAACGAGGTGCAGCTGACGCAGAATGCCATAAAATCTTTGCGAAAGGCCTATGGAGGAACACAGATGGCGTTGGTGACCCTGCCTGTGCTCGTGGCGAAGAAGATCTTGGGGGACCATGGCAAAATTCAGATAGGCTGGGTTAATTGCCGAGTGAGAAGAGTAGAGCGACCAGTTAAGTCCTTCAAGTGCTGGCACTACGGACACCTCGCCACGAAGTGCACGAGTCCAGTTGACCGGTCAAACTCTGCGTCAAATGCTCAGCGACCGGCCACAAAGCTTCAGACTGCACGGAGCAGCCGCTATGCGCCTTGTGCACCGAGAAAGGCAACACGCAGAATGGTGCCCACATTGCTGGTAGCAGTAGATGCCCAGTGTATAAGGAGGCACTCCAGAGGGTCCTCAATAAACGAAGATGAAATTACTCTAACTCGATCTCAACCATTGTGAGGCCACGCATGACCTGCTTATGCAGACGGCACGTGAGTTGAAGCCCGATCTTGTTGTCATCTCAGAGCCGTATAGTCACCTGGCGCTCAACCCTGGGTCACTGATGCTAGCACGAAGGCAGTAATCTGGGCTTGTGGCAAACGGCCGTTTCAAACCACAAGTGATAGTTCACAAAATGGCTTCGTGAATGCGAAGATTGATGGAACCTATTTCTACAGCTGCTACGCCCCGCCAAGCCTTTCCACCGAAGAATTCAAGGACTTTTTAGATCGACTGACTGAGGATGCGAAGCAGCACTTTCCTGTGGCAATAGCCGGGGACTTCAATGCCTGGGCAGTCGACTGGGGAAGTAAAGAGACGAACATCAACGGCATACTGTACTGGAAGCCGCCTTGCACAGGCAACTGCTCATAGAGAATAAATGATATCTAGACCGCGAGCGACGACTGTGCGATAGTCTGGGAGACATGTCCTCGCCAGAAAGTCACCTCGGTGCCTAAGAAGACAAATTGCATTGGCTGGAGAGTGAACTCCTTCGAGCCTAGCTCCTTTTCAGCCGCACAAGACGCCCACTCAATCAGTGGCAGCAATGCTACTGAGAAGGCGCGGAACGTTATTAAACGAGTAACAGAAGCATGTGATGCCACCATGACCTGGAAGTGGACCACAAACACGCATCCACCGGTCTACTGGTGGAATAACACCATCACCACCCTGCGCAAGGAGTGTTAATGCTGCTATGAGTGTAATGCTGCTAGAAGATCTTCTCAACGTGACTGTAAAAAGCCAAACTTCGAGGAGCTGCGGATGAGTTATAAGAAGGCACGCCGGAAGCTCACCAAAGCTATCAAGTGCTTTCAACTCGGCCAGGTGAGACTGTATAATGGAAGCTCTCAGGAAGTTTAATATACCGGAATACTTGCGGAAAATGATTGGCAGCTATTTCACTGGAAGAATCCTGAAGTACGACACGGAAGATGGCCCTGAGGAGACAGAGTCACCGGAGGTGTACCTCAAGGCTCGGTATTGTGTCCCTTGTTGGGGACATCATCTATGACGGTCTACTGAAGCAGGAACCGCCACGGGAAACTAAACTTGTGGTATTTGCGGATGATGTAGCCGTAGTCATCGTGGGCAAATACCTGGAGGAGATCAGCCTCAGTTTCGACATGACCTTCGAGACGATGAACACTGTAGGACTGAGCTGAACATTCTGGCTGAACATAAGACCGAAGCCGTGCTGATCAGTAACAGGAAGAAAATTGAGGCAATCACGCTGCAAGTTGGGTCCTGTGAAATCACCTCCCAGCCGTACATCCGATACCTGGGAGTGATGATCGATGTCCGACTTAATTTCAAGCAGGAAGGTGGGCACGTAGGAATTAAGGCTTCGGAGGCAAATCTAGCTTATTGCGTCTCATGCCCAACATAGGAGGTCCAAAACAGAGAAGACGAGCATTGCTGTCGTCGGTGATCACATCGGTGCTCACCTACGGCATTTCCATCTGGGTGGACGCATTAAAGTTGCAGGAATCACGGCGGAGAATTGCACCAGTCTATCGACTGAGTGCCCTGCGAGTCGCGAGCGCTTATCGTACGGTGTCCGAAGACGCGGTGTGCGTTATAGCCGCGATGCTCCCTATAGAAATGTTGGCCGAAGAGCGAAAGTCATTGTATCAGTGGAGGAAATCTGAAACACTAAGCGCAATAGAACTCAGTGCAGAAGAGAGACGAAAGAGTCTACAGCAATGGCAGGAGAAGTGGGACAACTCGTCGAAGGGAAGATGAACTCATCGGCTGATCCCACAGCCGTGAATGCTTGGTTAAACCGCACACATGGTGAGGTTAATTATTACCTGACGCAAATGTTTTCGGGACATGGGTGCTTCCGGGCGTATCTTCATAAATTTAAACATGAGGATTCCCCGAAGTGCCCAGTCTGCATCGAAGTCGACGAAGATGCGGAGCATGTGCTTTTCAGATGCCTCCGCTTCAGCGAGATGCGGCGTGTTTGGGAACCTGACCTTGGAAGGGAGGTCTTGCCTGAAACCATGGTGAAAGCTATGCTGTCATCGCAGACAGCCTGGGACGCAACGAGTAACTTTGCGGCGGCAATCATCAAGAAACTCAGAACAGAAGAACGTTAGCGCAAAGCTACAGCATAGGTAAATAATCTAATGGAACCTCTCATTGACAGCCAACACCTTAGTGGAATGAGGGGAAGCACGCTAGATGGAAGACGTGGTAGAGACTTCCCTCGCGAAGTAATACTTTACGGTGGTGCCGCGAGGAAAATAAAGGTTAGTCAATTTGTCTGATTGGAGTTTAGTCGGTATTGGTCCTGGTGACTCGAGCCCGACATACCCCAGTTGTCGGAGAAAATCCCTAGGATTCTCTCCCGCAAGTGGGGATGCGCAAATGCATTCTCCCAACAGACTCTAAAAAAAACACATACATACATACATACAGACACCATCTAAAAATCGCATATTTAGACTTTTTAGACCATATTTAGTTACCCTGACACAAAAATTTGGAAACTTAATTTTGACCGATTACAAAGCTTCCATTCAGAAGCAGAAACTGAAATTTGACCAGTATTTTAGAAGATATTGAGCAAAACAGTTTTTCACAAAAAGTTGAATATCTTCTAAACCACTCTCGATTTCGCTTACTCACGAACTCATCCTGTAATATCATAAGAGCTACAATCTCACCAAATTTCAATATTCTATCTAAATTTTGTCGAGAGCCATCGTATATAAAACAATTTTATAATAAACATGAAAAATGCCAATTCTCATCAAACAGCCTCTAGTTTTGTAGGGATATTATGATTTGATTTGATAGATATTATCACAAGGAACACTTTGA